TAGTGAGTTCAAGACCAGCTAGGGATACATGGGAAGACTCTGTTTCAAAATCAACCAACCAGCCAGCCAATCAGCCAACCACATCTAAGAAACAGTAGAATGATACTCATAAGAAATTCATCACTCAAACCAAAATTTAATTTGACAACTATTTACTGACCCTCCTGCTTAGTGTGGATTTTATATATGTGTAAAAAACTTTATAATGGAAAGATCTTTTTTGGGGGACACAGGATGATTTTGAACTCCTGATGCTCTTACTCCACCTACTGTGTCTGGGATTACAGGGAACCTCACCTAGTTAAGAAGAACTTTTTTTATTTTATTTTATTTTTTGGTTTTACAAGATAGGGTTTCTCTGTATTGTTTTGGAGGCTGTTGGTCCAGCCTGGCCGCGAACTCACAGAGATCCGCCTGCCTCTGCCTCTCGAGTGCTGGGATTAAAGGCGTACACCACCACTGCCGGGCTCTAAGAAGAACGTTTTAACTGTAAAGATTTTCATTCTTAGTTATGTGTATATGTGTGTCAGTGCGTGGGTATGTGCATGTGGGTTAGTGCAAAGGGCACATGCCTGGAGCGGCCAAGGGGGACTCTGGATGCACTGCAGCTGGGGTTACAGGTGGGTTTTTATTTTATTTTATTTTATTTTATGTGCCTTGGTGTTTTGTTTGCATGTGTGTCTGTGTGAAAGTGGAGCTGGAACTGGAGTTCTAGACAATGAGCTGCCGTGTCGGGGAAGGGAATTGAACCCCGGTCCTCTGGAACAGTCAGTGCTCTTCAACCAACCAACCAACTGACTGAGTGACTGACCATCTCCCCAGCCAGTGGTTTTGTTGTAAGCAGGAACTGAACTCTGGTCTTCTGCAAGAGCAGCAAGTGTGCTTAACTGCTGAGCTATCTCTGCAGCCCTGGAGAACAAAACTTTTTGTTCTCAAACAGAAAGGAATGCTAAAAAGAGTGCAATGTAGCCGTGCATGGTAGTTCTCGACTTTAATCCCAGAATTTGGGAGGCAGAGATGGAAAGATTTTTGTGAGTTTGAGTCCAGCCTGATCTACATAGTGGGGAGTTCCAGGCCAGCCAGAGTTACATGTTAAGATCTTATCTCAATAAAACAAAGAAGGTAAATCTTAAGACAGTCAAACAAACAGACTTTGTATAAGTGCAATCTCAAGGCAAGGCTTCTGAGTTAGAGATTCCAAAGGCAGCAGTAAGGGGGTCCTGCTTGGGGGTAGGGGGTATGAGATGGTCCAAGGTCTTAGAATTTCCACTGAAAAAGACAGAAGGACACAAAGGAATTCTATACTAAAATACTGTACAGGGGCCATAAAAATGTGATTGGTGTTTAAGGTTTAAGATAGGTAGAGATGAGGCCCCAGGAGGTCACCATACCCAAGACCAACCAAATCCTGACTGAAGTGTTCCTGGACACTATCTGCCTAATAGAAAACTCTCCCCAAATGCCTCACTACTCAAATGGAGCCCTCCCTCTTCTTCCTCTTCTCCTCCTCCTCCTTCTTCTCCTTCTTCCTCTCTTCCTTCTCCTCCTCCTCCTCCTCCTCCTCCTCCTCCTCCTCCTCCTTCTCCTCCTCCTCCTCCTTCTCCTTCTTCTTCTTTTTGAGACAGGGTTTCTCTGTATTGTTTTGGAGGCTGTCCTAGAACTGGCTCTGTAGACCAGGCTGGCCTTGAACTCACAGAGATCCGCCTGCTTCTGCCTCCCGAGTGCTGGGGTTAAAGGTGTGCACCACCAACGCCCGGCCCCTCCCACTTCTGAATGTTAGTTTTGCCACTGGCTCCCAGTTCTCACACTGATAGTAGTCAAATAGAATGGAGCACAAATTTGCTGTGTTCCAACCTTTGTGGGTTAGGATACTCTGGTTCCAGGCAAATAAAACCAGAAGGGAAGCCAGGCGGTGGTGGTGCACACCTTTAATCCCAGCACTCAGAGGTAGAGGCAGGAGGATCTCTGTGAGTTTGTAGCCAGCTGTGGTACACAGAGAAACCCTGTCTAGGAAAAAAAAAACCAAACAGAAGGAAAATTGCACAACTTTAACGAGGGGGAAGTGACTCACTGGCTTGAGATTTAAAACCAGGACTTTTGTAGGGGAAAGGGCAAGAAAAGAGGTCAGAGGTCAGATTAGAAAAAGTCATAAGGGTAGGGATGGAGTAACAGTGGGCAGAGCAGATATTTGCTTGGAGTAGCACCAAAAAGAAAGGAATTGACTGCTTTTTTTTTATTTTTATATCATCATCATTAGAAGACTTTTTTTGGGGGGAGGGGGTTGTGAGGACAAGGTCTTGCCATGTAGCCTGGTTGGCTTAGTACTCATTATGCAGCCCAGCCTGGTCTCAAACTGTAGCAATCCGGGTGTTGGTGGCGCACGCCTTTAATCCCAGCACTCGGGAGGCAGAGGCAGGCGGATCTCTGTGAGTTCGAGGCCAGCCTGGTCTACAGAGCGAGTTCCAGGACAGCCTCCAAAGCCACAGAGAAACCCTGTCTCGAAAAAACCAAAATAAAAAACAAACAAACAAACAAAAAAACAAAAAACTGTAGCAATCCTTCTGCCTCAGCCTCCTTAGTGCTTCGGCTCACAACCGCCTGTAACTTCAGTTCCTAATGATCCAATGTCTTCTTCTGGCCTCAAAGGGCATCTTCATGAATGTGGTACAGACACACACACACACACACACACACACACACACACACACACACACACAAACCACAAAACAATATCCTTATTTGAAAAACACTCAGGATATCCAGACATTTTTATGGCTTACATTTTTTTTTCATTATACAGTGTTGTCTTTTATATTGCTGGCGATCGATCCAGGCATACATTTTAAGGAGACAATGTGAACCTTTGGACCTTTGAAAAAACAATAAGCAGCACCCATGTGCATGCAACATTGGGTAAGCGGTTGATGTGGCTGCTCAGAGTTCAAATTCCACAGCTCTGAAAGCAGCTTCCATAAGCCTTGTTCAATGCTTCTCTTACTCAATACTCTGGTGACAGGAGACCTCCATGGCTAAGGCATGAGAGTTTCCTTCCTAAGCCTGTTTCCCTTGCAATGAGTCGGAAAGCCTGCACCTCTGCCTTTCCCCAGGAAAGATATTCTCTGAACCCGTATGAATCCAGATGTCTGCACAACTGAACAACTCAGTTCACATCCCTGCATCCTACACAAAGTGGAAACACCTCAGATATTGACTAAACCCCCACCCCAAAAAAGCATTGCCTGCGGGGTGGGGGGTGGGACACACCTTTAATCCCAGCATTCGGGAGCGGAGCCTCTACCACATCCGTTGAATTGTTTAAACCCAAAGATCAGTAAACCAGAGATCTCTACAGGTCGTTATTGTATTGGAATTTCACAGATCTTTGTTACCCTCTTGGCCCAAAGTAAAAGGTCAGCACCACAGCTTCATTTTTGAAGCATTCTTTCCTGAAGGCTCTTGTTAATTTGTTTGCATTTTCCAAAACCCCAAGGCGTTCTGCACCTTTGCCACATGACTTGCAAGAACCCTAACCTAACCTAAGAACCCTAACCCAAGGACTCGCGGTCTCCTGGCACTGGGCTGGGATTTCCGGGCACTGGGCTGGAGTCTTTTGCCAGGGAAGCCCCTGGTCTCCTGGCATTAGGCCGGGGTCTCTCGCCCAGGCAGGGTTCCCACCTTTCTGCTGCTCGGCTCCAGAGACCCAGCCCAGCTAGCTAGGTTTTTGTCGGTGTAGGATTCAGTTGCCCCAGGCTAGTCTGTGACGTGTCGCGGAGGCCTGGGCGGGGCAACCAGGAAGTATTTAGTGATCGCTCGGGCCTCGCTGGTGTGCTGCGTGTGCTGCGGGCTGAACCGTGTGGACTTGCTCTTTGTTCTGCTCTCCGGGCCGTTAGGTAGGTGCTGCACCAGATCAGGCACCCAAGCAGCGGCCGCTCTGCCTGCTCTGGGCTCCGGACTCCAACAACGGGTGGTGGCCAGGCGCAGGCAGTCCCGGGCTGGCTTGGGAAAGCTCTAGCTTTTGTTCTAGAGGTTTACTTTCTGCCTGCATTTCCGTCTGGTCTGTGGTGGAGCAACTTGCGTTTGTCCTACAGAGGCTTTATTTAAAGAGAAACACAGAAGTACTCATGGGGGGGGGGTTGCATAGTGGGAATGATCTCGTTTTCCTAATTACTTAAGAGTCTTACTAGGCAGCGACGTCTGCCCTCGGGCTCGCTGCAGCCCAAGCTAGCCTTGAACTCGTGCTCTTACCCTGCCTCAGCTCAGGGATTACAGCACCGCCATTGGTTGTAAAGGGTTATTTTATTGGCTGCACTATGGATTGGCTACTGCTCGAAGCTTCCTCTTTCAGGGCAATTGTTTCTTGTGGAACTGGGACTTTTGTCAAGAGGCTGAGCCGTGTCTGGACAGGTTCAGCTGCTGGGCAGTTTCGTGGGGGTGTGGGTCACTGAGGGTGCTAAATTTTATAGTCAGCGCCTGTCCTGAGACGTTCCTAAATTCCCTGGAGCGACTCTTTCTTGAGCTCAATCGGCTTAAGGTGTCCACTGCTGGTTTCAGTCTTGTTCATACGGATGGTAGACACTAAAGTATCTGATTGTCCCGAGGCTGTGAGCAGGCAAGTTCTAAGCTGGCCAGGGTCACAAAGTGAGCCGCTGTCTAGAAAAAATAAAAATAATAATCAAGGGCAGGTGTGTGGGGGAAGCAAGCTGTCTTCTGTTTGAATGAATTGTTTGCCTTCCTGTGAGCATTTCTGAAAGCAGGCTGCCCTTCTAAGGTATTTCTAGTGTCCGGGTTAAGAGACAGGAGGCCTGTCAATGACTACTCTTTCCTGTGGAAAGTTCTTAAACTACTCTGGAGCCTCACCTATCGGCAGGCTGTTGGCCCTGCAGAGGGCTCTGAGTTTGAGGGTGGGAAACTGAAACTTTATTTTCGGGACTTGAGCACCTTCCTGGGTTGGGGAAGGACTCGCTTCCCGGTGTTCTGAAATCGGCTTCTTTTCTCTCCAGGTTTCCTTTTTTTCCTCCAGCAGGAACAATGGCATCGGTAGCGATTGATCCACAGCCGGTATGATTTTTAAATACCCATTTCTTGGCCCCTTTTTGTCTTCTGTTTTGAGTCATTACTATCCACTTCTCTCTGATTGCAGAGTGTGGTGACCAGGGTGGCCAATTTGCCCTTGGTGAGCTCTACCTATGACCTGGTGTCCTCCGCTTATGTCAGTACAAAGGACCAGCATCCGTATTTGAGATCCGTGTGTGAGATGGCAGAGAAAGGTGTGAAGACCGTGACCTCCGTGGCTGTGACGAGTGCGCTGCCCATCATCCAGAAGCTGGAGCCACAAAGTGAGTTCACATTTGTTAGTCCATATTGAACCCAAGGGACTAGGTAGTGTGAGTTCTAAGTTAACACCAGGGAACTCTCAGGCCTTGAAACACAATCCTGCCTCTACCTGGAAACTGTCTAGTGACCTTCACTGTCACAAAGACTGCTTTGTAGCATGTTCACTCACATTACTCTAATAGAAACATCCCAGCCAGGCATGGTGGCTCATAGAACCCAGGACCACCAACTCAGAGGTGCCCCCCCACAATGGACTGGGCCCTCCCCCATCAATCACTAATTAAGAAAATGCCTACAGGCTTGGGTACAGCCCTACTTTATGAAGGCATTTTCTCAGTTAGGTTCCCTCCTCTCTGACGACTCTAGCTTGTGTCAAGATGACATAAAAACTAGCCAGGACAGCAATCCTCCCCCCTTTTTTATGTCAGAGTGTGTTGGTGTGTGGAGACACGTGGGGGTGTGAGACTGATGCCAGGAATCACCCTGGATCACTTACTTTTGAGGTAGAGTCAATCAAAGACAATAACTCACTGACATGGCTACTGAGGCTAGCCTGTTTGTTCTCCGGGTCTCCTGGTTCTGCAGAGACTGTAATTACAAAGGGCTTGCAACTCACGCTATGTGGATCTGGGGATCTGAACTGTGGTCTTCAGGCTATTGTGATAAGTGCTTTAACACCAAGCTATCTCCCTAGCCCCGACATTTTATCCACTCATCAGATGATGGACATTGAGGTAGCTTCTCCTGTGGGAAGGTGATGAATGAAGCTCTGTGAACATATTTATGTACACATTTTAGGGTGAATATTTTCAGTTTTGTTAGTATGTGTTTAGGAGTAGAATTGCTGGCTGGGTCTTTAATAATGTTTAGATTTCAGAGGAATTGGGGCTGGAGAGATGATTGAGGGTTAAGAGCACTGACTGTTCTAGACAATCTTGGTGAGATTCTTAGCACCCACATGGCGACTCACAACTATCTATAACTCTAGTTCTTTTTTTTTTTTTTTTTTTTACCTGAGACAGGGTTTCTCTGTGGTTTTGGAGGCTGTCCTGGAACTCACTCTGTAGACCAGGCTGGTCTCACAAAGATCTGCTTGCCTCTGCCTCCTGAGTGCTGGTGTAGCTAGTCTTTCTCTGTTCCATCAGCCAGCTCCCAAACAACACAGAGACTTATTAACTATGAGAGCTCGGTCGATAGCTTAGGCTTGTTTCTAACTAGTCCTTATAACTTAATTAGCACATTCCTATTAATTTACTACCTTCAATTAATAATTAAATTACTTTATTACCGTTACTCTGAACTGCCTATGCTACTTTCCTATTTCCTCCGTGTCTGACTGGCAGCTGCCCTCTTCCTAGCATCCACTCTGCCCAGAAAATCCTGCCTAACTATTGGTCATTCAGCTTTTTATTAAACCAATCAGAGTGATATGACATCACAAAAAGATTATTCCACAACACCTTGGATCCTTTGAGAAGCTATCCCAACAATGCTGATTCTCAAATGGATTTGGTGTGAATACTTGGCCTGCGGTCTTTAAGGGGGAAGCTTAGTCTGCAGTCTGGGCTTTGTTAGGGAGATCCAGGGGGCTATTGTTCCCTGGTGAGATCCCAAAATGTATCGCTGTGTACTGAAATAAATGGGGATCAACCCAGCCTGGAAATGTGAAGTTTGAGAGTTTTCAGTTACTTTATTTCCTGAGTGAGGGTTCAGTGGAAGCTTGCTTACTCTGTCCCTGACATGGAGGGCTTCTTCCTTAGGTGCTTTTCCTGTTCAACCCCTTACTTACCTGTCACTGGAGGGAAGTTGCCAGCAACCTGCCTAATTTCCTCCTGTCAGAGCTAGAGAAACCAGGAAGCAGGTTCTGTGCTTTTAAGAAAAACAAAAACTGCATCCTTGCTGTTTTTGTAATAAGGCTAAATAAAGCCCTAAGGTATTATCGTGTGTGTGTGTGTGTGTGTGTGTGTGTGTGTGTGTGTGTGTGTGTGTGTGTTGTGTGTTCCGTACCTACAGTGACCATTTCCCTGTGTTTCCTATGTTTCCTGCAGTTGCTGTTGCCAATTCCTATGCCTGCAAGGGGCTAGACAAGATCGAGGAGAGACTGCCTATTCTGAACCAGCCAACAACTGAGGTGAGCTTGGGACAGTGTTGAGGCTTGCTGCTTGGCGTGCATTCGTATTCTCTTTAGCCCAGGCTGTGTATGCCACAAACACACAAATAGCTTGCCCTTAAAATTCGAGCTGGGTGTGGTTTTGGAGGAGTCATGGCTGCTGCCTGACTTCCTAAACTGCTGCGGGATTTTAAGTCCAAGATGCAGAGAGGAACTGCCACTTTTGGTTAGAATGCTTTTAGGTCAGTCTTGTAACTTGGTTCCCTCTGTAAACTGCTCTTAAATAACTGATTCCATATGGTGCTGGATGCAGACACAACGGTGAGCTGGTCTGGGCTGGCTTTGTGCAACACTAGTAGGAACCCCATGTGTATGGTACAGCTAGCCAGTGTTGGCAAACAGATTGCCTCACCCATCCTAGAGATGCTGTAGTTCAGATAATACCCCAAATTTTTCTTTCTGGTTAAGAATACAGCATTACACAAATGATAGCCAGGGGGAATCCAGGCTGCGTCTTTCACCATTTAAATAGATGAGCTTAGTGTACAACTTTTAGAATGATTTTATATATGTCTCTGAAATTTTCACCTAAGTTGCTTATGGCAACATAAAGTAAGGATAGGAATTTTTTTCCATTTGGGGGATTTAAATTTTGATGAATGATTGGCTAGTATAGTGGTGCGTTACTTGAGTCACAGGGTTCAAAGTAGAGGCAGGCTGATCTCTGTGAATTCAAGGCCAACCTGGTCTATATAATAAGTTCTTGGCCAGTAGGGCTAGACCCTTTCTCAAAAAAAAAAAAAAGATGGTGGGGTTGATGACTTGCCTATAATATCCAGCATAACAAGAACTGGGGTTATAGCTCATTACTTGTCTAGTGTGTATAAGGCCCCGAGTTTGACCTGCAAAACCACAACAAAAATAGCCAACTCATTGTATTTGAAACTACATAAAAAAATCAGGTTGGGATATTAAACCAAAAGCTTCGTAAACTGGTTTTGTTCCTTGTGACTATGTGCCACTCTCCCCTGTATCTCTTGCCGTGTTCTCTACCCCCTATCATTCTTCCCTTTAACCTAGACAACCCTTAAGTACCAGGACCTAGAGGACCAAGTTCAGCTTGGTCTGTAGTTTCCTTTCTGGAATGGTGTGACTTCTGAATGAGCTATCTAAAGTTATATAATCTCACCAATAGGTAATAATTTTCCGTTTTTGTCTTGGGGGGCGGGGGTTATAGGGTCTCTTAGCCTAGGCTGTCCTTGAACTCCCTTTGTAGGTAGGGATGACATTAAGCTTCTGATCCTCCTGCCTTTGCCTTGCAAGTGCTGGAGCTATAGGCTTGTAGACTACCATGCCCACTTTTTACCAGTGTTTCATGTTTAAATACTAACTGAGCTACATTCCCAGCCTGCCACCCTTCTCCAGTGGCTTTTTTTCTACTTTTGCCTATACGCAAATGTAACATGGTGAACATTTTCTGGATTGTTCTTTTGGGGGATAGGGCAGAAGCTGCTGAGAATTTTGGTTTTGAGTCAAAGTTTCTTTGGGTATCGGAACTCACTTTAGCCTCAGCCTCTAGAGTGCTGGGATTATAAGCATGAGCCATCATACCTAGCATATAAGATAAAAGTTTTGAAAAATATTGAATGTAAGCTAACTTTTTATAGAGTAAAGGGGACATCCGTGCCACAGTGCATGGGTGGAGGTCAGAAGACAGCTTGAGGGAGCTGGTTCTCTCCTTCCGCCATGTGAGTCCCAGGGGTGGAGCTCAGTTTTTTCCGGGCTCAGTAGCACTTCCTTTTGTCTGCTTGGCCATCTTACTAGCCCTAAGATAATTTTTTTCTTTTTTCTTTTTTTGTGTTTAGTTTTTGAGGCAATTTCTCCTCATAGCCTTGACCGTAGACCAGGCTGGCCTCTCAGGATTCTAAGATAAATTATTAATGCACAAAGCCAACCACGGTGGCGCACGCCTTTAATCTCAGGAGACAGAGTCAATTGGATCTGAGCTCCAGGCCAGCAAGGGCAGTATAGTGTGAGACCCTGTCTCAAACAAGAACAACCAAAACTAAAACAACTTGCCTCAAACAAATTGATTGATTTCATGTTTATTTATTTTATTTGCATATCTAACAATCCTTAAGGAGTGGGTGGATGATAGAACAAAGAGACCTGACGGAGACATTTAGCCTCATTGAATCTTAATTCCATGCTTAAGTCTGGGAGTCAAAGGTCGTGTTCAGCCCATCCTTAACTACGCAGCCTTTGTAAAAGCGTAAGTGTGTATTCACACATTTTTCTCATAAACCTGCTTTTCTGTTTTGATTCTTACAGATTGTTGCCAATGCCAAAGGCGCTGTAGCTGGGGCGAAAGATGCAGTAACGACTACTGTGGCGGGGGCCAAGGATTCTGTAGCCAGCACTCTCACCGGGATGGTAGATAAGACCAAAGGAGCAGTTACTGGCAGTGTGGAGAGGACCAAGTCTGTGGTCAACGGCAGCATCAACACAGTGTTGGGGAGTCGGGTGGTGCAGCTTGTGAGCAGTGGAGTAGAAAATGCACTTGCCAAGTCAGAGCTGCTGGTAGACCAGTACCTCCCTCTCACTCAGGAGGAACTAGGTAATGGCGCCTTTATGCTGAAGTTATTTTTGATTCCCTTTTAAAAACTTCATTTATTTAGAGACACGTCTCACTATGTGGCCCTGGCTGGCCTATAATTCTCCATGTAGACCAGGTTGGCCTTGAACTGTGACTGTCTACCTCTGGAGTACAGGGATAAGTGTGCACCACTGTAACCAGCCCAAAGCTACCCTTAACCTTTAATTAATTAATTACTTAATCAAGTTATATTTAATTTTGTGTGTGGTATACATGCAGAAGACAAAGGGCAAGTTGCAGGGGCTTGTTCTGTCTTCAGTCATTGTTGTATTGCTGTTCAAAACACCATGATTGAGGCAACTATTGAAGAAAGTGTTTAATTGGACTGTCATGAGAGTTAGAGGCCATGACGGTGGAGCAACAGCATGGTGTCAGCAGAGAGCTCACACATTTTTGTTTTTGTTTTTTCGAGACATGGTTTCCCTGTGTAGCTTTGGAGGCTGTCCTGGAACTGGCTGGTCTTTGAACTCACAGAGATCCACCTGCCTCTGCCTCTCAAGTCCTGGGATTAAAGGTGTGTGCCGCCGCCGCCGCCGCCACCACCACCACCACCACCACCACCACCACCACCACCACCACCAGCCGGACTCAAGAGCTCATATCTTGATCAGCAGGCTAGAGGTGGAGAAAGCCCGTGTGGGAATAGCACCAGTCTTTTGAAACCCCAAAGCCTGCACTATGACATACCTGCTCTCTCAAGGCCACACCTCTTAATCCTTCCCACACAGTTCCAGCAACTGGTGACCAAGTATTCAACCAAAAAGCCTCTGGCCATTCTCATTCAAACCACCACAGTGTGGGTGCTGGGGACCAAACTCAGGTCACCAGGCTTAGTGGTGAACCCTATTTCTGGCCTTCAATTTTTTTTTCCCCTGTTAATACAGGGTCTCACCTAACCCAAGCTGGCCTTGAACTTACTATGTAGATGAGGATGACTTTGATCCTTCAGTCTGTACCACACTCTTGTCATTTATTTATTTATTTATTTATTTACTGAGATAGGGTCTGGAAGCACCCAAGCCTGCCTCAGACTCACTAGGTAGATGAACTCCTGATCTTTCTGCCTCCGTCTCCTAAGTGCTGGTATTAGAGGTGTCCACATTGCAAGTTCCAGACCAGCCAGGGTTTCGTAGTGAACACATCTCAAAAAAACAAAAGACAAAAGGCAGGGTTATGAAGGCTATGCCAGCACTAGGGGGGCAGAAGCAGGAGCCAGGGTCTGAAGAAATGGCTCAGTAGAAGAACCTGGGTTCAGTTTTCAGGACTCACATGGGCGTTCACAACTGCCTAACTACAGTTCCAGGGGATCTAGCGCCACACACACGTGTGATACACTGATGTACATGGAGGCAAAATGCTCATACACACAGACTAAAAATAAAAAAAAACAAACCTTAAAAAGTTTCGAGCCATTCTTGGTTATATAGCAAGTTTGAGAACAGCTTTAGTGGTTAGTGGTCCTTAGTTAGCATTCCTACTTGTACTATATACCAGGGTCTGTGTAAACACACGTATGTCTGTAGGTAGGTAGGTATGTGTAAATGTATAACAGATACAGTAGTACGTCAGGGTGGAGGTGAACGTTCTCAGGGAATTGAAACGTCTTTGTTGGGATCACAGCTGAGATCCCTTGTTTATTTCCTCTTTTCCTTTTTGTCTTATTTCCAGAGACAGAGGCAAAAAAGGTGGAAGGATTTGATGTGGTTCAGAAGCCCAGTTACTACGTAAGACTGGGGTCCCTGTCCACCAAGCTCCGCTCCCGGGCCTATCAGCAGGCTCTCAGCAGGGTTAAAGATGCCAAACAAAAGAGCCAGGAGACCATTTCTCAACTCCACTCCACTGTCCATCTGGTGAGTGCCCTGACCTTTTAAGGATGGGAGTCGGCATACTTAGGAAATTCAAGAATTTCAGTGTTGTATTATGAATAGCCCAGTGGAAAAGTGGATCGTGCTCAGATGGTTCTAGGGAAGGAAGTAAAACTAGATCTCTCAGGGAGGGAGAGGTAGTGGGTATCTGAGTTTGAGGCTAGCCTGGTCTACATCTCACATTCTGGGACAGCTAGGACTAAGCAAGACTTTGTCTCAGAAAACAAACAAACAAAAAACGCTAAACAAACAAAAAGTCGGGATATTCTAGGAAGCAATAAATGTATATCTTGAGCAGTTTTCCTCTTAGAAATTTGCCTTTCAGATAAGTCTTTCACTTCATAGTTGGAAGAGACACTAACAGTGCACAGCAATGGTAGGGGTGCGTTTGGGCAATATATCACAATGGACTATTGTGCGGCCACTAAAGATCTCCAAAGAATACATGTACAGTGCTGAATGCCAGTTTCTTCTTGGAAGAACACGTGGCTGGTGACACGGAAGAGGAAGGCTGAGTTCTCTTCCTCTTTTTTTTTTTTTTTCTTTGTTTTTGAGACAAAGTCTTGCTGTGTAGTTCAGGCTGGCCCAGAACTTGATACACAGACCAAGCTCGTTTCAGACTTGTAGCAATTCTCTTGCCTCTGCCTCCCGAGGGCTGGGATTTCAGACATGTACCACATGCCTGGTCTTTTTCCGCTGTTTTCCCCATGCCTTTTTCTTCTTCTAATTCTCATTTACCCTTCGTGCAAATATAAACTCTATTACGTTTTACCTGTCCTAAACAGGACACACATTTGGCACCAGCAGTTTAATAGTTGCACACAGGCAATGAAGAGCTAGCTAGCTACTGCTGCTTGGCTTACTGCCAATTGGATAAGCAACTGCCACTATTATCATTAAGCTCTTCCAGCAATCGTGGCATCTATGCTACCTGTGTCCACTGCGGAGCTGCGAGCAGACGGGAAAGGAAGGGAGATGGCCGTGCTCACCTGTTTTGTTTCATCACAGATTGAATTCGCCAGGAAAAACATGCACAGTGCCAACCAGAAAATCCACGACGCTCAGGATAAGCTCTACGACTCGTGGGTGGAGTGGAAGAGAAGCATCGGCTACGATGACACTGATGAGTCGCACTGTGCTGAGGTAAGTTTCCCCACGAATCCTCACAGGATAACAGGTTCAAGGCCTGCCTACGCCTATCCGGGAGTAAATAAATAAAGAGAGGGGCTGGTGAGATGGGTAAGCAGAGAAGGGTGCCATGGGACCCACATGGTAAAAGGAGGTAACCAAGTCCCTCAGGTTCTCCTTTCACCTCTGCATAAGTGCTCACAATAAACGTAGTTTAAATATTACTTTTAGAAGTAAGGAGCGGGCTGAGGTGTAGCTCAGTGGTGCAAGCTCCTGCCTTGGAATGGGTGAGTCAGGTGACTTCTGGAAAAGATCAGGACGCAGCCGAGAACTGACAGTAAGCCAGTGAAAGAGCAGTGCTAACGTCCTAGAGCTAGCTCAATGTAGTCGTGCGAAATGGTTCTTTGTGTCCCCCGTGCCAGTGTGACTCTGAAATCAGTATCAATTGTTCGTTCATGAAGATAACGACAGGGAGTGTATGTTTTGGTGTCTGCTGTCCCCTGTTTGCTGTTCTTCATTTTAAGGTGATATTTGCAGTCACGAGTTCAAATCTCCCACCCAGCTACTTTCCAACTATTAGTAGAGTGAATTACTTAAACTCTAAACATATGTTCCTAGCTGCGAAATATGATTAGTGCTGCTGTATACAGTATCGTTACAAGGGTTATTAAAAAAATCAAATTGGTTGGGGGCTTAGCTCAGTGACAGAGCATTCCTCCCTGGGGAAAAAGAAGCAAACACTCAGCAGTCAAAGCAGCTGCAAGAGTCTTGGATGTCTGCGTGGATATACAGCCAGCATGCTGTGTTTGGGCTAAATCATACGTAGTACCATTGGATCTACGGCTGATTCATGAGTTTGTTTTATTTTTAGCACATCGAGTCACATACTCTGGCTATCGCCCGCAACCTGACCCAGCAGCTCCAGACGACATGCCAGACTCTCCTGTCCAACGTCCAAGGGCTACCACAGAATGTCCAGGACCAGGCCAGCCACTTGGGGGTGATGGCGGGTGATATCTATTCAGTGTTCCGCAATGCTGCCTCCTTTAAGGAAGTGTCTGATGGCGTCCTCACTTCTAGCAAGGGGCAGCTGCAGAAAATGAAGGAATCCCTAGATGATGTGATGGATTACCTTGTTAACAACACGCCTCTCAACTGGCTGGTAGGTCCCTTTTATCCTCAGTCTGCTGAGTCTCAGAGTGCAGAGGTGAACAAGACCAGCCTGGAGGTCCAGCAGCCCCAGCTCAGAACTCACTAAACCTGTCCTTGTCACCAGTGCACGCTGCAGCCACGTGACACCTTTTGCTATTTTGAAATTAACCCAATAGGTGACTTTAGGTTGGAAAAGCAGCTAGTTCGTGCAGAGGTCCTCACTATGGTCATTAGCGGCCGAATTAAGAGCTGTAAAGCGTTAGCACCTGAGTTCCTTTTCCCTGGCTGGCAAATGGGAATGTATTAGGCACATGAGACCTAGCCAGGTGTACTTACACAGTCTTGTCTGTGGCCTTTGTGCTATCGGCTGTAAATGTCTGTCTACTGAATAAAGATTCATTCGTGTGGCTTCTGCTCTGACCTGACCTCTGCTCCTGTGTATTCTGAGCAGGCTTCATCTTTGTTCATCTCAAGGCACATGCTTGTGCAACTTGAATTAGTTTTTTTTTTTAATTCCCTATGAAGAAATGCCGCCTTTGGACTCAATAAAATTCATAGCAGGATGGAGCACTTTTATGTCATGTGGGCTTTGTGTGTTGCTTCCCTTGACCTGCCTGATCTGCATGACATTGTTAAGCACATACGTGAATTCCAGTTGGCCTGTTGGGGAGTTCAGCAGGGCCATAGCATTGGGAGACAAAAATCTGATCCGAGGATTTCAAACAAATCCAAAGCTAATATGAGGCTGGACGCATTGTTACTGCTGCTCAGAAGGGTGATGGGGGAGGACCACTTGAAACCAGGGATTAGAGAGCAGCCTGGGCAGCAGGGAAGCCCCCCATAGAAGTAATAAAGGGTCAGTAAAAGGGCTCAGTGGGTAAAGGTGCCAGCTGCCGAGTCTAATGATGTGGGTTCAAGGGAGAGAACTGACTCTGAACGTTGTTCTCTGAGTTCCTTATGCACAAGAATGCACACACGCACCACACACAGACACAGACACACACACACCACACAGACACACACACACAGGCCAGGGGATGGTGGTGCATGTCTTTTCCCAGCATTCAGAAGGCAGAGGCAGGTGAATCTCTAAGTTTGAAGGTAACCTGGTCTACATAGCAAATTCTAGGACAGCCAGAGCTACAAAGAGAAACCCTGTGTCCAAAACAAAAACACAAAAAAGGTGTGGAGTATCTTTTTTTTTTTTAAATAAATTGCAAAAAGTTGGAGGGGACTAGAGAGATGGCTCAAGGGTAAGAGCACTAGTTGGGTTTAATTCCCAGCACATACATGTTAGTTCAGAGCTGTAGGTCCAGTCCCAAGGGGATCCAACACACATGTAGGCAGAACACCCATTCACATAAAATAAATAAGGAAAAAGAAGAAGAAAGAAAGGCATGATACTATCTAAAAAAGCCAGAAACAGTCTATGGGCACACTTCTCTGTACACACTTTCGAACCCGGAAAAATAAAAACTCAAAACAAAAAAGCAGGGTATGGTGCCATGGTGGCCTCTAGTCTTAGTGTGTAGGAGAGAGACAAGAGACTCGAAGCTCAAGAATAGTCCCAGTGTGACAATGAGGTGATGTGGCCCAGAACTCCAGAGGCAGAGGCAGTACCATCTCCTAGTTTGGAGACCTGGGCTATACGAGGCCCTGTTTCAGAAAACATAAAGGAAAAAATTGCTTGTGTGTTATTAGAATTTTTTTTGAGACAGGGTTTCTCTATATTGTTTTGGAGGCTGTCCTGGAACTTGCCCTGTAGACCAGGCTGGCCTCGAACTCACAAGACCCCCTGCCTCTGCCTCCTGAGTGCTGGGATTAAAGGCGTGCACCACCACTGCCCAGCTTATCTGAGAGTTTTTATTTATTTATTTTTTATTTATTATGTATACAGTGTTCTGCCTGCATGTATCCCTGCAGGCCAGAATAGGGCACCAGATCTCATTTCAGGTGCTGGGAATTGAACTCAGGACTTCTGGAAGAGCAGCGAGTGCTCTTAACCTCTGAGCCATCTCTCCAGACCCCTGAGAGGTTTTTTAAAAAACACTTTCTTTAGATTTATTGTGTGTGTTTGAGTGTTTTGCCTCTTTGTATGTATGTGCACTGTGTGCATGTATGACACTTGTCAGAAGAGGACATTGGGTCCCATGGAACTGGAGTTACAATTATGAGCCAACATGTGGGTGCCCAGGAGTCAAATCCCTGGTCCTGTGCAAGAGAAAAAGCCAGAGCTCTCTACAGCTGGGCCTTCTCTCCAATCACCCTGCCCCGAAGGGATTTTTAAGCCAGTAAAAAAAGGTCTGGCTACAGGGAGCTGCTTTGCTGAAAAGGAATAAAGAAGGATATGAAGCAATTTTAGTGGTTTGCATCACTTTCCCCAAAAGAGGTTTTTTTTTTTTTTTTTTTTTGCCAAGAGCCCAGTTAAAAAGTAAGTTATAAGAGACTCATTGTCCACTTGCTTGGATAACTGGCTGGGCTATTCCTGTGAGAAAACAATTTCAGTCCTTGGTGAGGTGCCCATAGAAAGCCATGTGAGGATAATTAGGAGTAAGAATTCTAAGCAATCTGTCTATGGTAGCCAAGCTTCTAGTCCCTTTAAGGGTGACCTGTTGTTTAGAACTGCTCATGAGTCTCCTTGTAACAGAGCTGCAGTCTCATAAGACTTTCAAAACTGTAAGTACAAGGCTGAGGATGTAGTTCAGCTGGTAGAATGCTTTCCTGGCATGCACCAAACCCTGGCCGGGTTCAATCTGTAACACTCAAAAACGAGGTGTGCTCACTCCTGTAATCCTAGCATTTTGGAGTGCCAGCAGGAAAAGCTGAAGTTCAAGCTCATCCGTGCCTACAAAGAAAGTTCAGGGACAGCCTAAACTACATGTTATCTAAAAAAAAAAAAAAACCAAAACCCAAAAACCAAAAAACATTTTCAAGGCAGCCAACTTCAGGGCTGAAGAGATGCCTTACTGGTTAAGAGCACTGGTTACTCTTGCAGAGGACCTGATTTCCATTCCTAGTAGCCACATGAAGGCTTACAGCAGCTGGTAACTTAGTTCCAGGGGATCTGATGGCCTCTTCTAATCACCGTGGACATTATATGCACATGGTACACATATATACCATCAAACAAAATACCCCTGTGTATAAGGTAGTATCTTAAAAATAGAATGTTCAAAAAAAAAAAGAAAGAAAGAAAGAAGGAAAGCAAATTCTAGAGCCACACAGCTGCCGGTTATGCTAAGAAGCAAGCAGGGCTGCCCTTCACTAGAATGAATTCTAAGAAGGCAGTCTCTGTCCTGGTTCATGACTTCCCATGAAAATAAGACAGAGCGTGTAACTTTACCTGTGTCCTTGATGGGGTGCTGGGACTTGCTGGCTTCCTGGCCGCTGCCTTTGTTTGGCAGTTACAGACCTTTCGGCTTCAGGAAAGGTAGATTACTCATAGGTCTTTGCTTCTTAATTTTTTTCCTTAGTTCAAATTAGTCATAATCTTTCCATTCTGTGCCTCAGAAGTATGTGGATAGTTTATTTCAATTGATAAGAACAATTGTATTTATGGGTATAAAATCCTTTTTACATTTATTTGATTTAGTGTGGGTGTATGGGTGCCACAATGGACATAGAAATTACAGGACAATTTGTGGGTTCTTACCCACACCTACTGTGTGGGTTCCCCATCAAAGTCAGTTCATCAGACTTGGCAGCAAGTACTTTTACCTTCTGAGTTATCTCACTGACCACGTGGTTTTTGTTTTTTGTTGTTGTTTTTGTCTTTTTTTTTTTTCTGAGTGGGGTCTTATTGTGCCACCCAAGCTGGTCTAACTTCTGGACTCAAGCAATGTTCCCCATCAGCCTTCAGAGTACAGGAACTGTCAGTGTGTGGTATACACATGGCTTGGAGAATTCATATGTAATAACTCCATGCATGCTTTTTCTTTTTGAAACTGATCTTGCTACACAGCTCTGGCTTCCTTCAATCTCCTGGGGACTGAGAATATAGGCATGTGTCCTAATGCTTAATTCTGAATGTATACTCTTGTGTTTCTCCATGACAAGAGTTTCAGTGCTAATTAAATTGATTATGAAAAGGAGACAGTTCTGAGATTCATTCTTCTTGAGCAACAGAATGCAGACTAGAGCTGGAGGTGGTGGCCACACGCCTTTAGCCCCAGCACCCTGGAGGCAGAGGCAGGCATATTTCTGAGTTCAAGGCCAGAAAGGTCTAAGGTGTTCCAGAACAGCCAGAACCACAGAGAAACCTTTGTCTCAAAAACAAAGCAGCAAAGCCAGACCATAATTCAGACGACTTATAGAAGGAGCTCTGCTGCTTGTCACAACCTGTGAACACTCGTTGTGGTTTTGTCTGCCTGTGTCTTTCTGTAGAGAATTTGTGCAAGCATGCAAGCTTCAATTGGCTTATCAGTATTTGGTGTCTTCAAATCTTATAGCTTCATCGTGGCATAAACTGACAGAAACTTTAGTTTTAACAGATATCCTAACAGGGTGTCTTACTAGGTCAGGACAGAGAGTCATAGCTGCATGAGCTTTGGTGGGCTAACCTGTGCAAACATCTCAAGAGAATATGGAGTGCTGGCTGTTAGCCTCTTTAGCTTTCTCATCTTTTACAGATCTGTGGTGCTTCTAAGGATAAACGTTAAATATTGAGGATAGGGGTGCCTTTAAAAATCTTTTATTTCAGCTGGGTATGGTAGTGCAAGCCTTTAGTCCCAGCACTTGGGAGGCAGAGGCAGGTAGATCTCTGAGTTCAATGTCAGTCTGGTCTACAGAGTGAGTACCAGGATAGCCAGGGCCACACACAGAGATCCTGTCTTAAAAAAAAAAAATTCCAGAGACAAGAGTCTTATTATGTTTCCCAGACTAAACTCAAGCTCTTGGACTCCAGCAGACTTTCGCCTCAGCTTCCCCCAAGAGCTCAGACTGTAGTGGACAGAAACCGCTACACCCATCTGCAGGTTCTTCACGAGCTTGGACTAGAGGTGTGAGCACAGCATCCATGGCACAATGACATGTAGTATGTCTAACTGGCCAGCTCAGGTAAGTACATAATACCAGAACATGATTAAGGAAAACACACCTCCTTTGGTAAGATATGTAAGGTGCCAAGGAGCTAGTGAAGTAAAAGAGAATCTAAAATCTGAATTATGCTTGATGCCCCTTTTAGAGTATTAAGAAGAGGAAGGAGAACAGATCTTTAATGTGCAGCCTAATTGGCGCCTGGAAGAGCAGATGTGGAGGAGGGAAATGCTCTCTCACCAGCTGGACTTTCTTGGCTGCCTCGGGACAGGGCCAGTTAGATCTCAGATCTGATCCAGTTCCAGGATATTCCAGGCCTCTATGCTGAGGCCTTTATCTGTGATGGTCTTTTGATGTGTCTTTGACCCAGTAAGCTTATGTGTTTACTGCTTTTGTCTCAAGGAAACCTCCAGGCTATCGGTATACACTTTCCACAGAGGTTTTCTGTGATACAGGATATTCTGTCACATTTTAAAATGCCTTCATGGTAAAGATGTTTCTTACTCCTCTTGCCCCTTCTGAGATTCTGATAC